TTCAAGAAGCGCACGAAGATTTCGATTCGGATAACGAAATCCCACTATCTCGCCACGTAGAGACTGAAAGTTTAAAACATTGTTCACTTGTATATTTTGCTGGGTATTTGGCTATGCATTGCTTAAAAAAAAATAAATTGCGAGCAATGTCAAAGCAGTTTTTTAGTTTTTAAAACATACAATCACATAGACTGGCATTCAGAAGCGGGATTAAAGAGTCCATCTGATATGGTCATTAATATAACTGCAATTTGCGTAAATATTTTTAAAAACAAATTTTATTTTATTAAATCACAAAAAAATTTGGTGTATACGTTTGCGTGTTTTGTACAAAGCGTTTTATATTATATTATTACCAGTAAATGGTCAAGGGAGTCCCTGAATATTAATTATGGTTGGGGAGCGATACACTGTGGGACAAATATGAATTTTAGCTAGCAAAACTATCTAAATTCGGTATCACAAAAAGGAGGAGGAGGAGTGGCCTAGTGGGTAAGGTGGCGGGGTGAGCAATCGTCCGGTGAAAAGGACAACAATTATTACGGTCTTAAGGTCCGAGATATAGGTCCACAACAGCTGAGCCATCGGCATGTTATATTACATAATTGTATATTATATTATACATTATAATCGTCATCTTAAATTAGTCTCTCAAAAAAAACGTTGAAGGTAAGGGGAAGCTATTTTTTCACAGACAATATAATTTATAGAAGTAAAAATAAATTTTACCGGCTATGTTTGTAATCTAGTCCACTGTGCAAATTGCCACACATATTTATATAACACTATAAATAGCCCACGGGGAAGGTTTATGAAACGTTTTTCTGTATTACAAATTATATTAAATAAGTTATCATACCTACATACAATAGGTATTTTTATAGAAAAATATAAACAGACAACGAAAGATTCCAAATTAAAATATCAAAAAAATTGAATACTTCCGTTTTACTTATTTGAAACCTATTTACAAGATTAAAACAGGTATTATCCATAAGGAAGAAAAAATATTTTTACCGCTCTATAATAAACATAAAAAAGTCATTTTTTAGTCGACGAACCAACAAAATTAAATATTCGTTCATCAGTTAAACACGAAATTGTCGATTATAATATAAAATAGTTATTTTTATTTATTGGTGTTCAATAATTTCTATTTGAAATAAATTAAATGAAACAGGTGAAAATATCGTGTAATGTGCTCAACATTTGCCATAAAAAAATTGAATAATTGCAGGGCGTTTAAAACACGTCGATATCTCATTGTGCTTATAGTGATGTAGTTGCGTCGAGTAGAAAACCGCGTCGCGCCGAGCCGAGTGCATTGGGCGTTTAGGTAAAACAAATTTTTTAAAAAAATTGGAAAGAGATCACAATATGACAACGTCTCATTTTACCCGATTTGGTATCAATGTTTACAACTTGAATAATGCAATACAATTATTAGCACACTGGTAATCGCATTGATGGCATATCATGTATATATCGTTTGAGTGCTCCGTTGTTTGTGTTTCTTAAAAGCTGATTTTTTTTTAATATTGTTTAATAATACTTTTAATATTAAAATACTTTTAGAATTTAGTGGAAAACTTAACTGAGTTTACAATAATGTCGGAAAAAGTTTGTTTTATTTGTCACAACGATTTTATGTTGCAAAACCGCGATTCAGTCAAAGTACACATTAGCTGCATGAAACGGTACGCGAGGATCGACCGAATAAAGCCGGACGTTACAAATCGAGATGCGCCGATTAAATCACCCATTAAAAACCAGCTACGATCTGCTCGTCCGTTTTTTGGTCTATTTTATTTTTACACGCTATTAGTGGATGTGACACGGTTTCATGCTTTTTCCATATTAGTAAAGTAAAACACTTCAAACTTCTTCAAAAATACCCTGATCTCCAAGAAGTAATCGATGTCTTCAATAGACCAGATTCTTTACCAGAAAATATTTTTAAAGCCGGTTTGTATTCAAATTATATGGTGCACCAGATAAACAAACTCAAATCAATGACTACAGATATCTTTCTTTTGTTCGAAGTACATCTAAAAAAAATGTTAACTTGGCAAGCTTGCCTCCTTCAAAAGAGGCTTTAAGACAACATTTATACCGGACATACCATCAGGTTCAAATGTGGTACGGAAATGAAAAAATGCCGAAGATTGGGGGTGGCAAATTACTACAAATGGATTGCAACCAATATTTTCTAAGAATAAGCCAGCTGCAAACTGCATTTTGGAAAAAACATCATGCGCGTGCATGAAAACATGTGGACCAGCATGCAGCTGTCGAAAACAGGGGTTTAAGTGTTCGATCGCGTGCAAAACATGCTACGGCCTTTCATGCACGAATTGCCCGAGTTCATATATTGAAGAATGTGATTCGGATGAAGACAACTTACACTTAGAAGATGTAAATGAAATACACAATCACCCAAAACGTCGTAATTAGATTATAAAAATAAATCAATAGTTTAAAATATGTATAATTAAGTCTTGTAATTGTAGTTTGAGTATTATTTAATGTATTAAAATGTTTTGTAATAGTTATTATTCAAAATAATTTACTAGTTTATTACGAATAGAACTTAATTAACCCAAAATCCTATCTATTGTAAAAGAAAATAATTAAAAAAGTATGTTCTTATTTTTTTCCACATAAAAACCTTCATTGACTGGACTATTTATGGAGAAAAAAAAACTATATGATTTTTGACAGTTATCACATTAGACCATAAAAACAAATGAAAAGTGTCCAAATGGTTGACCTGTTAATAATAAAACGACATTTATTTTGATATTCGTGTCTTGGTAACGTTAATCCAATATCGTTATTAATGCTTGAAAATTATAACAAATCAATTTTCATCGTCTCGACTTACCCAAATGGCTGTACTGTATAATAACATGGTTGTATTAGTTATTATCAATGATCTACATCTATAATTCACTTTTTAGAACCGACTCGTTTGATTTTGAGAAAGCCGACTCCTCTAATCACCGGCCATCAGACACAGCTGATGACAATGATAGTAGTTCAAAAAACTGTGTGATGACTGCAGCGACGAAACCACAAACGAGTCAGTAACTACTTTATTCGCTCTGCGTAAACTAAAAATGCGTACATTTTGTTTTTATCAACATTTTAATTAATATCATACATAAACTTTAAAAAATACTACCTAAATAGTACCATAACGTTTCAGTAGCACCGAAAATAAGGAGGAAGAAACCGCTGATAGCTACGTTGGACTTAAACCAGAGGCGATATTCGGAATGTAAAACGATTCTAACGAAGGCCTAATGTACTTGTTGCAATGGAAACATGCAGATTATATCAATTTTGTTCCTGCCCGAGGAGTGAAAGTGTTAAGCCCGCAAATTGTATTGAAATTTTACGAAAAATGTCTTGGGTTGGACTACTCTACTTGAATCTTTGTTTCAAATTATAAATTTCAATGCTTCCAATTATGTCAAAACGCATCTGTGGCGTACTCTTCACCACTGTTTTCCACTACTCAAACATCCTGTACTGTTACACTGTGTATATTGTATGTTTGTAATATTATTTTATTATTATCTGTCTTTATTATTTTATTATTGACTGTGTTTACCAATTGTTAAAAATTAATCTTAGATGTGAAATGTAATAATATTCATGGAAAAATGTATAATTGTTGAAAAACAAATGTAAAAATATTATTATTATGTAAAATGTTATATTATCGTGTAAAAATATATTATTGTGTAAAATGTATACTGTGTGTACTTATTCATTTCTTATCATTAATTTTTCATTAATCATTAATTTTTAATAAACAAACCAACAAAATGATAATCTTAAATATTTAAAATAAACCTTGTCCCTTGCACAGCGAGTTTGAATGCCAAAACCCTGGTGGTGTATCCTCTTAATGTCTAGTAAAAAACGAAAACATATTTTCTTAAAGAGCAATTTTTTTTAGTCAAAGAGTGACATACACCACTCTTCAGAAAAAATGTGCCGTTTAGAGCAAAACATTAAGTGTGAATTGTGTTATTGTGAGACGCAAGTGCACTTCCACTTAAGTCCATGACAGGTACAAATTTAAAAAATAGTTATTTTACTATTTTATTGCCAAGAAGGACATCCCTAAGGCGACAGTGACAACTCCTTTAGGCCCCTTTGAAGTATTTCTTATCAGTTTACGTTATTATTGTAAATAGCGTGTACAATATTTTCGGCATTGTAATTTGGCCCTACTGCATTAAGTTTAAACCATTTAAAAATCGTTATTTAACAATCTATGTTTTTACTATGAAGTGCACTGTCTGGTTTTATTTAATCTATGCTATAGCCATGTCGTTTTACCACCGATTACATGCAGTGGTTATTTCGCTTAAGTATGAGTGTTATATAACATAATGACATCTTTCTTGTTTAATGGTTTTGTTGAGGCACAAGCAGCTGTTTAATAGTAGTATGTGATAAGGGGTCACAATTCGCCACCAGTGACCGCTCGATGGTCGTACGGTGTACAGGGCAGTTCTTCCAAAAAATGATAAGAGATAAGAGTTCTTCCAAAAGATAACACAATTTTTATTTTATCAGCGTGACCAACCCAGAAACACCAAAATATAAAATCACATTCTATCAGTCTGCCAATTCTATTAGAATAAAAGTAACTAAAATATAACTAACGTTTATCAGAGTTAACTGTTATCTCTAGAACTAAACGGCAATAATTCAAATGATAAAAAAAAATAACCGTGTTAAAATATATTATATTTTCTTAAATAGTACACATTTTTACGATACATTTATAATGACAAAAAACCAACTAGTTCATATGACGACAACGGTAATTATTGGTAAATAAAATTTACTTTCGTTTCTTATTAATATTAAATGAATATTTTTATTAGAATTTTTTTTTAATTCATAATTCAAAACTCTTATTTTCACATTATATAAACTTGCAATATTTAATATGAATAACATAATATATTTATCAATTATAGTACCTAGCGACAAAGTTCATACATACACTATATTGTACTAATTTGTGTGACAATATTATTACATCCTATTTAAATAAAACTATTAATACAAGTAAATTATGTTTTACAGTATGATGGTAGTTGTCTGAAGTCATAAAAAGCTTATCGGTATGCTTATTCATTAGAGCGGTTCGATTCCTGAAACTATCTCTAGTCTGATTAAGTGTGGTAACAGGTATGGAGTTATTTTTTGTAAAATTGTTTTAATTGATTTAATCTCTATTATTTTAATAATTAACATTTCAACTTTTAACTTATTTATTAATAATATATCTTTCAGTTTTAAGATGAGTCAAAGATTCTGGTTGAACAGTTCTCCTTCGACACTAACTGGAAGAAATAATTGTTTTATCATTTGTCTAAATAGACTAGGTAAGGAAAACATTCTAGATTTGTAGTATTAATACAAATATTGATACAAAATTAGTTTAATATCAATCTAAAACACCCTAATATAGGGTATTTAAAAAAAAAGAAATCAAATGTAAATTATCTTTCTTTTTAATAATTTAATTTACTATTTTCTAACATTGTTAGTTTTTGTACAAGAAAAATTGCATTTACTTGTAGATCTTACGTTTCATTGGTATGAGATAACAAACTAGGTCTACTTGATATATACCGGTCACAAATATAGTCTATTCATGAAATCACTCTTCCAAGTGTTATTGATAGATAATTTAAGTTGAATGGTATAAAAAAATGTCATTATCAATTTTCGTTATATTTAATTTTAACTTCACAATTAACAAACGTTAACATTAGTAATTAATTTAAAATTGGTTTTATATTATAATTATTATTAATATTATTTAACCATTTGTTGTTTTTTCAGCTAGAATGTGACCAGAGGAAGATTAAATGGACATATCATATATTTCTCCATGGACACTGTAATCCATGATGGATTTTTGACACTATATTTGAATATTTGTTGTTGAAGTTAATTGGATTTTGTGCAAAACCCCTGGAAGAATATTCTGTATCAGACTAACAGTATAAACGCCACCCAGTATTTCAGTTTACCTGCTGTTAAACATCGTAGTATCATCTCCAATCTCTTTATATTTTGTTTAATTTTATTTAAAAAAGTCTCATTATAATTTATTATTAATCAACTGTAATTCAGTTGTTTATTTATTGAATAACTTATTATCCTGTCTTCAACGTCCATATAAACTGTACTGTATTTATGACCACTACACTGATATCTCATTTGGCTAAATACTTTTAATTTTCAACTACATTAAAACAAAATTAAGATTGTTTAAATTTTTTTTTTTTTGAATACTTGTATTATTGTTTGAATATTTTTACACTTTAAGTGTCAATACAAGTATCTTTAGTTTAACGATACTAACAGTATATTACTATTACAATTTTGACAAACATAATTATTAGCCTACCAAATAAATTATAAATGTAGCTTCTGTATTTGCTTATTTATTAATATTTACTTACCTTAATAACATTAAAATATTAATTTATTGTAAAAATATCTTGACCTAACTGAAAGATTGAAAATTTGTAAACTGTTATGAAATTATGTTGATGTTGTTAGGAAAAATTGTATAGTCAAAATTTTGAATACCTAGATTAAAAAAAAAAAACGGTACAATTTTTTTTTGCTAAACCAAGTAATTATACATTTGTAAATTTTGATGTTTAGTTTATAATATATACATTTTTAGTTAAAAAATATCTTTACTTAAGTATCATTTTATACTATTTATACTTTTTACCAGATTATTTTATGTGTTTTAAACTATTACATTTATTATTTCTATTATTATTATTTATTATTTATTTAAATGACTTATCTAACTTTATGAATTGTACTTTATAAATTATAAAATTGGTCTGAAATGTATACTGTGTTACTATAGGTAGCCTGATAGACAGGAAGTCTATATTGTTTTTTAGAAATAAAAGTTGTTTTTTCTTGGTTAGCTTAATTATATAGTGTGATTGACTAATTTTCTCTCATAATAATTTCAATTAGGTAAAATTATTTTTCAAAACATTTTTGTTTGTGTTATTTTACAACTGAAAACATGTTTTAATAACCACTTACTTTTTTGATAATTTTTAATTAAATAATATTTAATTATGATAAAAAAACAAAGCGTATTTAGTATATAGTATATATTTGTTTATAATTTTATTATTTAGAAATGCATTAGTTTTTAGATGTAGTTTTTGACACAATAAAGTAAAAGTAAACCAAATGTATTTTTTCTAAATCTGTTCTCATAGACACGTTTACTCTCGATAACGAGTGATTTGTATCTGTGTATTGTATTAAGTGATATTATATAATACGTTAAAACGAAGGATGTTTAACATATTGAATACTCTCTTTGAGTATACAATGATGTGTTCGATATAAATTGTATTATAAAGTCCAGATACCGTTATCTTTATTTATATGCATAGTATAATGTAGTAAATAATTATAGATTCAACATTTAAATAATAAATTAGCTTTAGTAAGTTTAACCCTTAACAATACCTGCTATTATCTAATAACTATAGATATATATAAATAATGTCTTGATAATAATTGAATAGTTTTATAACATATTCAATATTTTTGATATTTTCATTTTAGTCAGTTATCAATGAATCAAAGTATACAACTATTTTATTTTTAATAGTAACGCAGTTACATCTTATATCAATCATAATTCATGAAACACAATTTTGTAGCTCTACACAGTTTTGACCTCTAAACTTTAAGTTATCTATATTAAAATAGTTTTGAATATTGAAAACCATATGTTCAGTTTTATTCAAATTCAACTATAAAAACTCGTAAAACCATGTAAATCTGTTTTAATAACTAAGTATTATATTACTTCATTATTTGGGATTTAATGATTTTCAAATATTTTTGATAGAGACAGTGATAACGATATTGGTTTATAATGGCTACAGTCTAGTAATTATAACTAGAGCCCTAGTAATTAAAATTACCGACTGAAATAATAGATAATAACTACTGAACAATTATTTATTTCCTGTTTTGTGTAAAGGAATGAAGACACATTTGTTAAAACTATTGGGGCACTTACCTGAAAATAATGGTAAATTAAATACCTACAACTTTTATACTTTTCATTGTTAACTACAATTTAGTTAAGTACAACTGTTTAACAGTATAAAGTTAGTTTTATCTTCTACTAGTTTAATCTAGTATTTCTAACCAAAATTATGGGGGTATAAGATATTCCTAACACAATTATACCATTTTTAATTAATGTTAAATAAAAATGGGATTATCTAATCTGTTTTTAAATGTTCACTTAGTTAAAATAGAGTTAACCTGACCGCTTGATATTCATTTTTTTAATTTCTGATTTGACAATTTTATTATATACATATTAGTGGAATTGGAAATAGCCTCATTAGTTTTCACATTAAATATGTCCATAGCTACGTTTATATCATTTAAATTTTCACAACTTCACCAATCTTAAGTAAATATTAACATACTTAAATCAGTCTTATTATAACTTATTTAACTTATTGTGGGCAAAAAGAGCTTTAACAGCAGATCTCGATGAGAACGAGATAAGAGATAAATAAATATGATGAGATGCTGCAACTTGCAATTGTATTTATTTATTTTATAATATGTATTATTTCTATTTTTTTTATAATATAAGAAAAGTATACATTTCTTAATAAATGGAATGTAGGCAGAATTAATAACAGAAAAGTTATAATATCACTTCTATAAGAAACAAATCTAATTGATAATAATTGTATTTCTATAAAGGCAATCGAGGTAAAAGATAATTAGCCAAGTCTTTGCCAGGCTTGTACAAAAATATTTTATTACTTTTCACTAGTATCTTACAGCATCACTTTAGACATTTAATTCTACTTATGTTTGGAAATGTGCATTATCAAAAATTCTTATAAATCTATGGATCTATGAAAATATAATTTTAAAAGATCTAAATGAAATATGGATATACCTAAGTAGGTATTCTAATTTCTAATAGATTTTTATACTATCTGATTATCAGAGTATTAATTAAAATAAATAAAAAAAAGCTTTATGTCAATATTGTCCACCGTAAAACGGCAGGACTTAATCCAAAAATTATTTAACTACAACAGAAAGCAAGTTCCTAGAACAGAAAAATATATATTAAACACGAGGGTACCATACCTAATTTATAAAGGATGGAACAGTACAATCGTTTGAAGAAGTTTTGCAGTTATTTAATTAAGATCTTTGTACCATACCAAGGGTAGATCAACATTTATGTGATGAGTATTTGATACGCTCGCATTAATGTGTATCAATTGTCATATTATGCGATTTCTGGTGTAATTATTCATAAATTATTAATTTAACTATTCACTAAGTAAATGGCCATATTAAATGAATAAGTACATAGATTAATAAAATATGGGCTATGCAATCTTCTAACAAACAAGGACATTTTCAAATCAAGAGATAATTGTAAATTTGCAAATTTATATTGACCAAAAATTGTATCATATTTTTAAATCATATGAATAACTATTTCAGAACAAATTCATATTGTTTAGTTTGGTTTATATAATAAAAATATATACCCAGAGTAGCTTAATATAAACTAATTTCTGTAAAATATTAAGTGAATAATAATTATTTTAAAAACCTACTAATTGATTATAAATAACATTCAGTCTTGCAAAGTATTTTAATACCGCTCAGTCTGATTTGATAATCTCACCAACATAAAAGCAAGTTTTTATTAAATTACATTATATATTTATTGAGTATGACGTTTATACGATTACGACCCAAGTTTGATCATTTTTATTAATACAACAGAATTGTTAAATCTAGTTTACAGTAATTTTATATTATGCCATATTCGTATTATCTACCTATTATCCCATGCAAAAGGGGCCGTACAACAATTTTTTTCTCTTCACGAGTCTTTATCTGGCAAAAGGTTCACTTTGGACTATAACCTTATAATGTATATATTGATTTATGTGGAAACTTGAAAATGAAATATGTGTTTGGTTCTAGTTATTCATGTAAGGTATTTAAACTACAAGTGTCATATGTTCCGTTATCTTGCTCTAATATATCCTTTAGGTACCAAATTTTGTTAATAATATATCTTCTAAAAGACAAGATTGAAGACAAAGCTTATAAGCTCCAACCTGTATTCTTTAACTACAGAATACATATGTAAGATGTGGTAAAACTAATTTATACTTGACAGCCAAATTCTGAAATCGTTAACTAATTTAGGTAAAAAGTAAAAATAATGTTTTATTTAAATAGTAATATAAACAATTTGAGGGAAATTTTAATAAAATTATTATTATTTTATACCAAATAATATTAAATTATAACATATACTTATATGATAGGTATATACTATAATATAATGTAATTTATTATGAATTTTACGTGTATAGTGTATACGATTTAAATTAGATAATTGATAAAGATCTAACTACAATTTGCAATAAAGATAAGAAACTAACTAAAGGCAATGTTTTTGATATTAAAATACGAAATTTCTCTTGGCGGGTTTTTGGTAAAATCGATGTTGGTACTATCTGTAGTATTACACATTTTATAGGTTATGTAACATTTTTTTCTTATCACGCGTTATCATTTTTTGGAAGAACTACCCCCAACTCGGTCGTACGCACGGTCTTATATAAGACCGTGGTCGTACGTAGTAGGCGCGTTGCCAAATATTAATATTGTGATTGTGTTCATGAATAATAAATTAATTATATTTAATTAAAAAACAATTATTTGTTATTATCATTAAAAAGTGTAGCTACCGATTTTTTTTGAATTTATGCAGTCCACTTGTTTTACACGCTAGTCGATTGCGTGGCGCAAACAGGTTTTAACCATTGGATTATCTATCAGGATTAACTTCTTAACAAATACAGTCTTATTCCTCAAGTGCAAATAATTTCCAGAACATTTTTTAGGAATATACTCACTAATGATTCACTTAAGAGCCTTAGAATAAAAAAAAAAATTCTGAAAAAGTTGAAAAAGATGTTTTTTTTGAAAATTATGAAAATACAATGTTGTGCCCGGGAAAAAAAAAATTCCTTGACACCCGGGTTGGAAAGAGCGTTGGGCAAACGTTTCTATTGGTCCAACATACGGGATACAGTGCGTCAGTACGTTGCGAGATGTCACATATGCGCATGTGTAAAACATCTTAATCGGAAACCGGAAGATCCGATGC